CTCTCACAAGGTATCAGAGCTTAAGGACGTTTTCAAGAAGCGATGCTCGCCTCTTTCCTCTTTTCCTTTCTATGTCTCAACACACGTTGTTGCACATGATTAATCTTCATTCTCTCAGACAGTATCGGAGCTCAAGGACTTTGTCAAGAAATTCAACGTGCTGCTAGAACTTACAGTGAGATCTGAGATCATTCTTTCTTTCTTCGACCACTTGCTTTTAGACGATAGAGGCTTAACCCTTTTGCAACATTGTGTGCGAGCTTTTGCCGACACTGTCCCTCAATATGAATGTGGTGTTTTTATTTGATCGTGGTAAAATCATTGCTTTGTTGACCTTGTGCTACTCTGTTCTTCTTACCTCTCCTCTCTCTCTCTTTTTTTTTTTTTCTTTCTTCTTCTCTTCTCATCCTTTCCATCTCCCATCTTGCCCCCTATGCTCCCCCCCAGCGTCACACAAACCTAGCAGGGCACATATCGCAGGTGACCAACAGGTGACCAACCGGCCTGCCTTTGGCGCTCTGATCTCCACGGAGCAGGCCATTCTTGAAGCACGGTCCATCGACTCGTACGTGCATGACTCGTGTGGCGCTCCATCCAGTGCACATGCTCCATCGTGTGTGGTGCTGGTGCTGAGCCACGTATATACTCCTTTGTGCACATGCACTTGTGACTGCAGCGTGTGTGAGTACATTGAGGTGACTTTTGAGTCACCTCAAAAAATGACTCGTATGACGCTCCGTCGAGTGCTTTGTGTGTCAGAGGAACGTCCCATGAGCACGGTGCTGTGTCTTCTCTCCCTTGTCTACCTTGCACTTGTATGTGTGTACGTGCATCCACGTGGGTGACTGCAGGGCGTGTGAGTACATAGAGGACGCCATGGCACAGGGACATCCCATGAGCACAGTGTTACGCCTCCTCTCCCTTGTCTCCCTCACCAATGGCGGCATTCCCAAGGCACGCTTCGACCACCTCAGGTACACCGTGTGAATCGAGACGAGGCCTGAGGTGCCTTTTGAGGCGTATCAAAGCGCGATATTGCGTCTCCTCTGCCTGCTCTCCCTCACCAATGGCGGTATTCCCAAGGAACGCTTTGACGGCCTTCAGGTACACCGCGTGCGAAAGGGATGGGTTCGAACCTGTTCTAGCAAGACTTAAAAAAAAACAGATCTTAGCATTTTACAAGGCGCCCCTCTACCACCTCAGGTACACTGTGAATTGAGATGAGGTTTTAGGCCCCTATTGACGCGCCTCACAGCATGGTGCTCTGTCTCCTCTGCCTGCTTTCCCTCACCATCTGCTCAGCTGTGGATACATGGAGAAACGTGGGGATGAATGGGGACATGTGAGGATATGTGGAGAATGGTGGGGACACGTGGGGATACATGGGGACACGTGGGGATACATGGGGACACGTGGGGATATATGGAGAAACGTGGGGATGAATGGGGACATGTGAGGATATGTGGAGAATGGTGGGGACACGTGGGGATACATGGGGACACGTGGGGATACATGGGGACACGTGGGGATGCATGGAGACACATGATAAAACATGGGGATATGAGGTGGGAACACGTGGGGACACATGGGGATATGAGGTGGGAACACGTGGGGACACGTGGGGATATGAGGTGGGAACACGTGGGAACACGTGGGGATATGAGGTGGGAACACGTGGGGACACATGGGGATATGAGGTGGGAACACGTGGGGACACATGGGGATATGAGGTGGGAACACGTGGGGACACATGGGGATATGAGGTGGGAACACGTGGGGACACATGGGGATATGAGGTGGGAACACGTGGGGACACATGGGGATATGAGGTGGGAACACGTGGGGACACATGGGGATATGAGGTGGGAACACGTGGGGACACATGGGGATATGAGGTGGGAACACGTGGGGACACATGGGGATATGAGGTGGGAACACGTGGGGACACATGGGGATATGAGGTGGGAACACGTGGGGACACATGGGGATATGAGGTGGGAACACGTGGGGACACATGGGGATATGAGGTGGGAACACGTGGGGACACATGGGGATATGAGGTGGGAACACGTGGGGACACATGGGGATATGAGGTGGGAACACGTGGGGACACATGGGGATATGAGGTGGGAACACGTGGGGACACATGGGGATATGAGGTGGGAACACGTGGGGACACATGGGGATATGAGGTGGGAACACGTGGGGACACATGGGGATATGAGGTGGGAACACGTGGGGACACATGGGGATATGAGGTGGGAACACGTGGGGACACATGGGGATATGAGGTGGGAACACGTGGGGACACATGGGGATATGAGGTGGGAACACGTGGGGACACATGGGGATATGAGGTGGGAACACGTGGGGACACATGGGGATATGAGGTGGGAACACGTGGGGACACATGGGGATATGAGGTGGGAACACGTGGGGACACATGGGGATATGAGGTGGGAACACGTGGGGACACGTGGGTGGAGCTGCTCTTAAGCATGCTACTGGGGCTGCTGGTGCCAAGTGGCTGAGGGGTGTGAGACAGCGGTGGTGCTTCGGAGGTGCCTCAACACTCATATGAGCTGCTGGGAAGCTCACTGAATGCCTGCATTCCTGCCGCCCATGGCGCGATAAAGAACTGATTTTCTGGAGGGCGAATACGTAATTGCAGCTGGCGTTTGATTGGCTGTTGGGGCTGTTAGTTGGTACTGCCGAACTCCTAGTTGAGTGCTATAACATGCAATGTGAACTCTGCTGAGTAGCTACAGCAGTTTCCACCTTCTTTTGGGTGGTAGAATGGTAGTACTGATTGGAAACGGCGCGAACCAATGAAAACTCTTATTGCATGACATAAACCCTATATCTGTAGTTAGCAGCATCAGTGGTCAGACACACTCTGATCAATATGCGCGAAGGAATGGATTTACTCATTGCCCTGCCTGTTTACAAAGCACGTGCAGAGCGACCCTCAAACTGCCGGTTATGCCTGATCTATCAGTTTCTTACCGCCAGAAAGTATTCTCCCTTGCTTGGTTCTCTATGCAAAGAAAAGCAGAGCGGCGAACAGGGACAGGCCAGTAGCTGCTATGGCAGGTGATACAAGCAAACCTGCTGTTTGCAGAAAGGGGGTTTGGGGAAGGGGGAAAATGCGGGGGGGAGGAGGGAAAGGGGGGAAAGGGGAAGGGAGAGGAGGGGAAGGGGGAGGGGGGAGGAAGGAGGGGGGGGGGGGGGGAGACAAGGTAGAAGGAGATGGGGGAGGGGTTAGCCAGAGCAAGTGTAGAATATAATCGCGTCGACCAATTGCGTCCATTTTGTGTAGCAACCCTCGTAATGACGGTGAATACCAGCAGGCATGGGTGGCGTGACAACCCCTGGACAGTTCCGTCAGGGTTCACAGTAACGCCTAGAATCTGCAAGCCATCCGTTCCAATAGTCAACCCGCCGGGGATTGGAAGTCCAGTACCAACGATTGTCCCATTCGGATAAAAGTTGGTACCGCCGATCGTTACAGAACCGTCCGGATTTGTGGATGGAATAGGTGGGTTGACTACTTGGCCGTCGCTGGTGACATACGTGCCGTTCGGATAGTACTTGGTGGTGCCAATAGTCACACTCCCATCAGGGTTGGCAGTGACGTCGGAACTGCCGTTGACGACCGAGGGGAGCGACACTTGACCGGCGTTGTACACCTTCCCATCGGAGCCAACGATTGTCCCATTCGGATAAAAGTTGGTACCGCCGAGCGTTACAGATCCATCTGGGTTTGGGGTGGGTGGATTGACGAATGTCTGGCCGTCGCTGGTGACGTATGTGCCGTTCGGATAGACTCTGGTGGAACCGACAGTCACACTCCCGTCAGGGTTGTGAGTGACGCCGCCAACGCCGTCAATGCCCGTTCCATTCTGGCCAATAGTAGTATCGCCTGAAAGTTTTATCGTGCCGTTGGTGATCAAGTTGACAATGCCAGGAATCAAAAGCTGTGCTTGCGCTGGCAGAATAGTGGCTGACGTGAAAACTGCCACGAGGAGCACCAGCGTCGCAAGGAAGAGCACACGGGGAGCCATGGAAGCTGTTAGTCTTGGAATTAAATTTGGCTGATTATGAGAATCAGTGAACTTGTAGACCTGTTTCAGCAGAGCAGCTTGGGGCGTTCTTGGCTAGTCGGAAATTGGACGTCAAGTTGGATGGTCTGGAGTGGGCGTCGAAGCTTCAGCGTCAAAGCTCTGGCGTCAAAGCTCATTGCCTAGTAGCTGTGTTACACGAGAGGCTCCAAACCAAATTCGTCTCGAATCCCTGCTGGACATTGCCTGCGGTAGCGCCTCGGACATTTCGTGTGTTGACTTCGTTGAATATGTTTCCAGCCAGTGAGCTGATTTTAGGGCCGTGTGCGGACCAGCTTGAAACTTGCTGACACGACAAAGAATCTGCGGAAATCTCACGAAATTACGTGTATCGTCGATACCCATCTGACCCTGGCCCAAACTGCCCTGCTGTGTGTCAGAAAGGTGACAGTGGCTATAACGGGCCCTCGTTGCAGCCAGCCCAGTATGGATTTCGGCACCGAGCCTCATTGGTGTAGTGAGCAACCCCTTACTCCAGTGCCAATCACCAGACCAATCAAAGTCAAGTAGGGTTCTACAACGTGTGAGACACTGTTTTCCTTCTATTTAAAGTCATCCTCGTCACTAGATACAACCAGTTGGGAATGGTTGTGTACATTGTATTATGTATTACCAATACGTCCTAAGAACTTTCCTTACCGGTAGTCACTAAATACAGACTTTCCTTACCCTCTTGCGATAGCATACAACCCTGTTTATCCATTAAGAATGTACGCAACCAGAGGTTCAAACTCTTGCAAGCCCTGCAGTCTGCAGCTGAACGCAGAACCTAGCTTCATCAGAGAGCACCAGCCAGCGCTGCCACTAAGTGGCTCCATAAATCCTCCACATTCACCAAAACGGGCAGATTCACAACAAGGTGCAGAAAACAGCATCTACTTATGCAAAGCCTATCTTCTCCAAGGCTCCAGCGAGAGCACTGACTTTGTCCTCTGACGAATCCTCCACGTTCACCAGGTTGGGCAGATGCACGTCACTGCGCGGCACAAACTCATGCAGCAGCTTCCTCCTGTACTCTGCAAACGGATCCATCCCTGCTGCTGCTGCTGCTGCTGCTGCTGCTCCTTGGTGCTGTGCCACGTCAGCAGGGGGAGGCTCCAGAATGAGGGTGTGGTGCATGCCGGAGAGCAGCTGCGCGTAATCCCCGTCAGCGCCAGCTGGACTGCCGACGACGACTGCCAGGTCAGCAGGCTCCAATCCCCAGCGGACACAGAGGTACCTGGAAGAGAGAGGGACAGCATAAGAGAAGGTGGGAAAGAGAGGGGCAAAGAGGGAGAGAGGGGGATAGAGAGGGAGAGGAAGGAGAAAGACAGAGAGTCAGCGATGAAAGCTTGTCATGGAGGTCAAAATCTAAAAGGACGTGACTGGGGACAATAAAAAGATGTGCCAGCTGGACCAATAAGCACAGTGCTGGACCAAGAAGCACGCAGTACATTACCTGAGGGCCTGTGAGCGAGAGGCGTGGAGCGGCAGGATGTGAAGACATGTGGCGGCACGGCAGTAGCCCACGTGGCACCTCAAGCCACGTAGGCGCAGGCGGCGCCGCAAGTCAGCTGCTGTGGGCATCTGGGGCCGGTGTAGGGGTCGAAAGGGGGAGCGTAGAGAAAGCGAGGCCTTTGAGACGTCTCAAAAGACAGACGCAATTCAGTTGCTGTCAGCATCTGCGGACATACCAAGGAGGGGGGGAAGGTGGGATGAGAGAAAGGGGACAGGGGATTCAAAGGAAGGTAGGTAGGAGGAGAGTAGAGAAAGCAGAGCCATGCCATACTTCACACATCAGAGCCATGCCATACTTCACACATCAGAGCCATGCCATACTTCACACATCAGAGCCATGCCATACTTCACACATCAGAGCCATGCCATACTTCACACATCAGAGCCATGCCATACTTCACACATCAGAGCCATGCCATACTTCACACATCAGAGCCATGCCATACTTCACACATCAGAGCCATGCCATACTTCACACGTCATTGAAAGAGAATGCGACCTTCACCAGTGAAACTAGTGTAGGAAAAGATGGGAATAAACGCTTCTCTTGATACTCATCAGTGACCACCTGCGTCCACTTTCACTCTTGAGACTCTCTCCTGAACACGTTCCATTGACGCCACCAAGCCCTTACACGAGTAGCTCCTACCTGTGCGATGTCAAGCACTCGGTAAGCCAGCCGCCGGGACGTGGTTCTCATCTCATCCTCCACACACACGCGCTGCACCGCCAGCAGCTGCTGCTGCTGCAGCAGCAGCCCGCTCCCCACCGCCCCCCTCACCCCTCTCGATCCCGCCCCTGCACCCCCCAGCCTGCTGCCAGTCACGCTCTTGCTCCCAGGGATGCCTGAGTGGGTGGAGGGAGCTGCAGGCTCAGAGGCGATTGCTGTCAGCCCGTCTGAGAAGGAGATTGAGCGGACATACTCCTCCTCGTTAGTAGCAGCCCCGTTACCGGCAGCAGCTGCAGCACCATTCCCAGCAGCAGCAGCAGCAGCAGCAGCAGAGAGAGCAGCGGCAGGAGGAGGGAAAACACCGCCAGAGCCTGCCACAGGAGTGGTGGCAGCACTGGCAGCCCCACCCGATGCTGTACCCTTTATAGCGTGCGCCAGGATTCGTCCCATGGACCGGCGTACACCGTCAGCGCTCCACCGGTATTCAATATGCGCGAAATAGTCCGGATCGGGAAGCAACTGCCAGCCTTCCCGATCCTCCAGAGGAGCCATGGCTGATACCAGACCTGCTGCCATTCCTGCCGCCGCTCCCGCTCCTGCTCCCGCTCCTGTTCCCCCAGCTGCTGCTGCTCCAAGTTCCGATGCGGTGGAGCACGGTACAGAGTAGTACACCTCGCTCCCTCCCCCTGCTATCAACGCATCAAGCTGCCTCAGCCCCACTCCTGCTGCTGTCAGCATTGCCACCGTCTCTCTGGCTGTCAGTGCCGTCGACAGCACCACACCAATCTCCCCGCCCGGCCCCATACCCCATACAACGCGCTCCCTTAACGTTCCCGTGTTGTGCCGGTATGCCACCTCCAGGGCGGCGCACAGAGAGTCCAGAACAGACGAACCCGGCCGCCCAACGGGGTCGTATTCGTCCACAGCGACCACGATCAGCCGCCGCCGCCTCCTCAGCCGGAGCCCCTCAAACGCCGCTGCTGCCGCCGCTCCTGCTGCCGACCCTTTCTCTCCAGCCCCAGCCCCTGCTCCTCCGTCCTCCCCTTCCTCCTGCATCCCCTGCAGTCTCCCCGACCCGCCCACCCCTTCCCGGTACCTCCCAATACTCTCCGACCCCATACCCCCAGTAAACGAGTAATTCCCCAGCCTGTTGTGAATCCCCAACGCTGCTCCTTCTCCCAGCCCCTCCCCCCCACCAAGACCACCAGAACCACCAAAACCACCACCACCAGCGGCATGAGAAGGCTCAGCCGCGTAACCACTAGCGGACCGGCCGTCGGGCCGGATAACCCCGAGGTTATCCAGCATGAAAGAGAGGTCCATAGAGCCTCCCTGGAAAGACCCTCCTTGGAAGGACCCTCCGCCCCAGAACTTGCCGTCGAAGGAGAGGCGCAGGGAGAGGTCTTGAATGTCCCGGAGGGATTCGGAGTGCAGGCCGGTGGAGGGGTGGGTGGAGGAGGTGGCGGCAGCGACCTGATCGAAGAGTGCTGCTGCCCTCCACACTGGGTGGCGCAGACGCGACTGGGCCACGCGGGTTAACAGAGAGGCGCAGTGCTGTAGAGGGTGGTGGGGAGGGGGAAATGGAGAAGTGGAAGAGGACAAGTCATAGGGATTGGAGGCCGGTAGTGGTGACTGAAGAGGCGGCAGCAGCGACCTGGTCGAAGAGTGCTGCTGCCCTCCACACTGGGTGGCGCAGACGCGACTGGGCGACTCGGGTGAGGAGTGACGCGCAGTGCTGTTGGAAATAAGGGGCAAGGGGTGAAGGGGAAGAGGAGATGTGGATTGCTCGGGTAGCAGAGGCAGCGACCTGGTCGAAGAGTGCTGCTGCCCTCCACACTGGGTGGCGCAGACGCGACTGGGCCACACGGGTCAGGAGTGAGGCGCAGTGCTGCTTGGGAGGAGGGGTAGGAAAAGAGGGGGGTGAGAGGGGAAGGGGCGAGGGGCGAAGTGGAGCAGAAGGGAAGAAAGATGAAATTCGGAGAGTCGAGTTGGGGGAGGTAGGGGAGGAGAAGCGGGAAGGAAAGGGGGAAAGGGGGAAAGGGGGAAAAGGGGAAAGGGAGAAGGGGAGTGATGAGACACCTGAGAGACATACACCCACCAGCAAACACCACCACACACCCACTTCCACCCACCTGCGGCCAAGAGTACTTCTGAATGTTGGCCAGCGCTGACTTGTGGCAATCAGTCCAAAGGCTCTGCCCACCACCAGCTGCAGCAACGCCTGAGTAACTCACCTGACGTGCCTACGAAACAGAGCGTCCAGACAACCCACCTGCAGCCACGAAAATCTGTGGATGTTGGCGAGAGCAGATTGCGGCAATCGGTCCACAGCGCCCTGTCCGCCACCAGCTGTAGCAACGCCTGGGAAACTCTGTTGATGCGCCTACATAACCGACCATGCACCCACCTGCGGCCAGACCACCCACCTGCGGCCAGGAGTACTTGTGAATGTTGGCCAGAGCTGACTTCCTGCAATCGGTCCACAGCGCCCTGTCCGGCACCACCAGCTGTATAAGGACCTACACCCATGGCACAGGCCATGCACCCACCTGCGGCCAATTGCACCCACCTGCGGCCAGGAGTACTTGTGAATGTTGGCCAGAGCTGACTTCCTGCAATCGGTCCACAGCGCTCTGTCTGCCACCAGCTGCAGCAGCGCCTCTGCCAGTGCGTTGGCATCATGTGGATCCACCACCAGCCCGTTGCTCAGCATCTGAGAGAATGGGGAGAGCACAGATGGGGATGGTTGGGGGGAGTGGGGTAGGAGGAAAGAGGTTAGAGGTTGAGTGTTGTAGCAGCGCGGACGCCAGGGCGTTGGCGTCGTGAGGATCCACCACCAGCCCGTTGCTCAGCATCTGAACAGATTGCGAGAATGCAAGGAGCAGGAACAGGAGAACGTGGCAGAGTGAGAATGCAAGGACAGCAGAAGCGCCCACTTCATCCCCCCACCAGGGCGTTGGCGTCATGTGGATTCGCCACCAGCCCGTTGCTCAGCATCTGAACAGATTGCGAGAATGCAAGGAGCAGGAACAGGAGAACGTGGCAGAGTGAGAATGCAAGGACAGCAGAAGCGCCCACTTCATCCCCCCACCAGGGCGTTGGCGTCATGTGGATTCGCCACCAGCCCGTTGCTCAGCATCTGCACCAGGCGAAAGGGAAAGGGAAGGATGAGGGAGAGAGGGAAGGGGAGAAAGTGGCAGACTGAGGATGCAAGGACAGCAGAAGAGCCCTCCTTGGTCCCCCTCCAGGGCGTTGGCGTCATGAGGGTCGAGCACCAGTCCGTTGCTCAGCATCTGCACGACAAGGGGGGGGGAAGGCAGGAGAGAGGAAAGGCGGCGGGAGGGAGATTGAAAGGTCCGGGTTTCACACGGCCCAATAGCCAACTGCGGTACACGTGGAGGTTTGAGTTACCACCACGTGTAACTCCCGAGGACGTCCATGCCAAAAGCACGAGGACGTTTCAAAGATGGCGTGGTCACGAGAAAGCCGTGCGGTGGCGGGCCGAAATCAGCAAGAAAGATGCACAGAAAGCACCTGGCAACGTGGTTACACTGTAACAGATTTTGTTTTAATATCGTGAGCACTCACCTTCTGGATGTCAACTGGTCCGCCGTTCTTAGTGGCCACCATGGGCAGCCCGTGCGCTGCTGCCTGTGGTGTGAAAGGGGACGAATGGACGGGAAGAATAAACCGGAGGGAAAGAGAGGCAGAGGGAAGGAAAGAGAGCACCACCAAGGAGGACTTTATTGAATAGCCTGAGTTTGGCTCTCCCTACACCATAATCGCCACCATAAAGATGCCATGCTCTGACAGTTGTTGTGCAACGGGGAAGGGTGGTTGGCAGGGAGGGAGAGAAGGAGGGCATGGAGGAAAGGCCCAGAACGTTCCAACAGCAGTAAGGTCAGTGGTAGGAATTCAAATGGTCGTGACCCAGCCCAGCATGACGTGTAGGGAATCTTTTCTGAAATTTCATACCAAAAAAAAAAAGAAAAAGAAAAAAAAGAGGTGTTTAGGGAGTGTGGAAATGATATTTTTGAGACGTATCAAAACTTCAGAGGTGTTTAGGGAGTGCGGAAATGATATTTTGAGACGTCTTAACACTTAAGAGGTGTCTAGTGATCCCTACACGTACCTCGATGAGAGTGAGGCCGAACGGCTCCACGAGTGCTGGATTCACAAACACGCCCTGCAGAGGAGAAAGAGGGAATCCAGCCAGGGAACGGAAAAAGAGGGGAGCACAGACGAGGACAGCAATGGTCAGGCGGTTGACAGACCCCCACCCCCGAGATTGCAATTTGGACAAGCGTTTTGGACTCACACACACTCCTAACTGCCTGAAGCTAAGGCGACAAAGGGCCATGGACAGGTGACAATGGAGACAGAATGTTTGTAACCAGGTGTTTTGAGGTAGGCCAGGTGTTTTGAGGTAGGCCAGGTGTTTTGAGGTAGGCCAGGTGTTGAGGTAGGCCAGGTGTTGAGGTAGGCCAGGTGTTGAGGTAGGCCAGGTGTTGAGGTAGGCCAGGTGTTGAGGTAGGCCAGGTGTTGAGGTAGGCCAGGTGTTGAGGTAGGCCAGGTGTTGAGGTAGGCCAGGTGTTGAGGTAGGCCAGGTGTTGAGGTAGGCCAGGTGTTGAGGTAGGCCAGGTGTTGAGGTAGGCCAGGTGTTGAGGTAGGCCAGGTGTTGAGGTAGGCCAGGTGTTGAGGTAGGCCAGGTGTTGAGGTAGGCCAGGTGTTTGAGGTAGGCCATCTGGCCGTACATGTCACGCTCGTCAATCAGCTTCAGCACCGCTGATAGCATTGTCAACACACCAGGACATACCATAATCCGCCGCACCGCACAACACCGCACCACAGCACACCAACACCTGCCTGGATCACCGTTCTGCACACCTTGGACTTGGCAGCGAGGGCGTAGATGTCCGGCACTTCAGCCTGCTTGTGGTGCTTGGGGTAGGCCACCAAAACCTACCCTAGGCCTCCCTTTACCCCTTAGTGTACGAAATCCTTAGATGAGAAGGCAAAGGCAGCACCTTGGACTTGGCAGCGAGGGCATAGATGTCGGGCACCTCCGCCTGCTTGTGGTGCTTGGGGTATGCCACCTGCCCGTACAGGTCGTACTTGTCTATCAGCTTCAGCACCGCTGTCAGCAGTGTTGGCACACCACACCACCACAACCTACCACACTGCACCGTATTACACCTATTATGTGTCTGGATCCCCTCCTCTCCTCACCTTCGACTTGGCAGCGAGTGCGTATATATCTGGGACCTCCATCTGCTTGTGGTGCTTGGGGTAGGCCACCTGACCGTACAGGTCGTACTTGTCTATCAGCTTGAGCACTGTCGTCAGCACCTCAGCGTTGCCCGCACTCATGGCGTCAATGTCGTCGCGATTGCCCATCACCAGGCACTGGGGAGAGGGTGGGTTACCATGGGTTTGGATGGGTTGGGATGGGTTGGGGTGGGGGGTTGAGGATGGGAGGAAGGCAAGTGCAAATTTCAGCTTGAGCACTGTCGTCAGCACCTCAGCGGCGTTGCCCACACTCATGAAGTCGATGTCGTCGTGATTGCTCATCACGAGGCACTGTGGAGAGACGGAGAGGGTGGGTTGGCATGGGTTTGGATAGGTTGGGAGGGGTTGGGGTTTGATGATGGGTGGACGGCAGATGCATATTTGTCTATCAGCTTGAGCACTGCCGTCAGCACCTCAGCGTTGCCCGCACTCATTGCATGAATGTCGTCGCGGTTGCCCATCACCAGACACTGCAGTGGGGAGGGGGGAGTGTGCGTGGTCGTGGGGAAATATTTGGAAGGGAGAGTGGGCGGGTTGCCTTGGGGAAAATAAAGATGCAACATAGCATAGCATAGCATCTGGTAACACATACATTCTGTTGCATCGCCTGGCAGGCAGCGATCTAGGAAGAAATCTTGACATAAGCACATGAAAAGATCTTCTCCACGTTCCAAGCCTTATCCATTTCGCAAGGTCCCTTGAGGCCTGCTCCTGCTACTCACCAGGTTGGCGAGGTCTCTTAAAGCCTGGCACTCCCCGAAGGCGCGCACGAGCGTGGTGAGATTCTTCTTGGGGTCGGGACGAGCGAGAGCAAGGATGATGGGCTTGTGTGGGTTGGACCAGAACTTGCGCACCTGTGTGGGGGACGGCAGGGGGGGAGTTAAAGGGGGACCGGGGGGTGGGTGGTGGGGGTGAAACAGATGGGGAGAACAGGGAGGGATGACGAGAGGGCCAGGATAATGGGCTTGTGCGGGTTGGACCAGAACTTGCGGACCTGCGTGGGGGGAAGAGGGGGAGGGAGAGGGTTTATATATGCGGGGGGAAAAAAAAAGGGGGCAGGTGGGGTCGGGCAGGGCCATGATGATGGGCTTGTGCGGGTTGGACCAGAACTTGCGCACCTGTGAGGAAGAGAAGGGGGAGACAGGGGGGGGGGGGGGGGCGGATGGGGGGGCGGCATGGAAGATGATAACAAAGGAATGTGCTACAAACAAGGCTTTCTTCCATACCTCCTTTGAGTGGCCTTCAAAAGTCATGATGGCTACAAAAGATTTCTAAACTACGAACCTTATGATGAAAGAAGTGAGCTACAGACGAGTTGCTCCATACCTCGGCCCAGATGGGAGGCTCAGGCCCGGGCGAATCAGAGCCGTCGATATCTGGGACGACCACATTCGAGAAATCCATTCCTGGGGGGATGACCTGATGGGTTGAGTGCGGTGAGGAGGAACAGGAATGGGACGGAGCGAATGGGGGGTGATTGAACGAAGGGGTGAAGCAAGGTTCGAATAGCTGGGAGCTATGACAGGGATGACCGCATTTAAAAGGGATGAAAGGGAATAGTTTTGTACTCGGGGCTAGGGGTTTTGAACCCTACACCCTCTCCCACCACCCCCACTGCCCAACAGTTCCTCGTGCGACAGTGACACGGATGGAGAGGGGGCGGAGGGGAGGGGTATACGGATGTCGAGGACTACTATGCGTGGGGTAAAGTGATGGGTCCTATTCGTGTTTCCTCATTTCGTGCTACTGCTATGTCTCGCAAATGAGGAAGCACAAAAAAAGACCCATTTCCTGTACTCCACACATTGTAGGCCTCGACATCCATACACCCCTCCCTCCTCCTCCTCTCCATCCGTGTCACTGTTGCACGAGGAACTGTTAGGGCAGTGGGGTTGGTGGGAGAGGGTGTAAGGTTCAAAACACTTAGCTCCGAGTACCAAACGATTGATGTTTGATCTACTACCTCTTCCCCTCTCCTGGCCTACTAGCCACCTCCTCCCCCTCCCTCTCCTTAACCAAAACCCGAAACCCTGTATCCCCATACTCACCACCATGCGGGGCATGAAGCGGCCGTGGCAGCTGACTCCCCTTAACTGCCGGGCGCGCAGCACTCTCTCCAGGCGCACGTCAAAGCCGTCATACAGCCCCCACTGCTCCTCCACCTCCTGTCGCGTGCTCGTCACCACCAGCTCTGCTGCATCCAAGGAGAACTCCTCTGCGTCTATCCTAAACCTGATGGGGGTCCAGCCTCCGAACCCTCAACGCAAAACCCTAAAACCTGTGTCCCCATGTGTACTCACCGCCTTGCGGGGCATGAAGCGGCCGGGCTGACTCCCCTTAACTGCCGGGCGCGCAGCACCCTCTCCAGGCGCACGTCAAAGCCGTCATACAGCCCCCACTGCTCCTCCACCTCCTCCACTTTTACCCCTTAAACCCTTAACCCCCTGTAACCCGTGCACTCATGTGTACTCACCGCCATGCGCGGCATGAAGCGGCCGTGGCAGCTGACCCCTCGGAGCTGCCGGGCGCGCAGCACCCTCTCCAGGCGCACGTCAAAGCCATCGTACAGCCCCCACTGCTCCTCCACCTCCTGCCGCGTGCTCGTCACCACCAGCTCTGCTGCATCGAGAGAAAACTCCTCGGCTTCGATGCGCCGGTCGATGGCGTACTGCGTGTTGATCTCCGCGCGGCTCATGCGGCCCTGCTTCAGCAGCTGCTCCAGCTTGTTGCGCCCCAGGGAGTGGCCCGTTAGGACCATCGGGACGTTCAGTGCACCTGGAAAGATTGGGGCAGGGGGGCAAGGGAGGAGAAGAAGGAAGGGGGAGAGTGTTGATTCAGCAGCTGCTCCAGCTTGTTGCGCTCCAGGGAGTCGCCTGTCAGCACCATCGGCACGTTCAATGCACCTGGAGGGATTGGGGCAGGTGGGGGCGGGTGGGGGCAGAGGGGGGGGAGGAGGAGAGGGAAGTTTCTGCTTCAGCAGCTGCTCCAGATTGTTGCGCCCCAGGGAATGGCCGGTCAGGACCATGGGAACGTTCAGTGCACCTGGACAGGTTGGGCCGGAGGGTGAGGAGGGGAGGGGGGGAGAATGGGAAGGTGCTGATTCAGCAGCTGCTCTGACTTGTTCGGAAGGGAGTAGCCAGTAAGGAACATGGGCACGTCCTGGACAGACAAACGCAGGAGGGATGACAAACACGATTGCACAACAGCACCCACCTGAGAGCAGTGCGGCTATGTCCCCAGCATCGGCATAGTGCCCGTGGATCATGTAGGGCCACACGCGCTGCCCATCACCGATCTGGTCAGCCAGTTCTCTCGACATGTGCATGATGTGCGTGAGAGCTCCGTCCAGAAACTCGTCCACGTAGGGCCACAGCGCCTCCTTGCGCAGGTACTGGCCTCTTGAGACGTCTCAAAACAGCCACCAACCTGAGGCTCATGAGAGAACTGACCTGAGAGGAGTGCGGCTATATCCCCAGCATCGGCGTAGTGCCCGTGAATCATATACGGCCACACGCGCTGCCCGTCGCCGATCTGATCCGCCAGTTCTCTTGACATGTGCATGATGTGCGTGAGAGCCCCAAGACACGACTGGTGAACCAGCACACTCACCTGAGAGCAGCGCTGCAATGTCTCCTGCGTCTGCATAGTGCCCGTGGATCATATACGGCCACACGCGCTGTCCATCCCCGATCTGATCCGCCAGTTCCCGGGACATGTGCATGATGTGCGTGAGAGCCCCGTCCACAAACTCGTCCACGTACGGCCACAGCGCCTCCTTGCGCAGGTACTGGTCTCGTGGCCCGCAGGGTAGGCGGATGATGTACGCGCCCGCGCTCTCCCCCGCTATCAGCCCGTCGGGGTCGTAGCGGAGAGAGCTCAGCATCTCTGAGGGTTCTCCGTATGACCAATCGACCTAAAATCGTGGGGAGAAACAGGAAATGGGGGAGATGGGATGGGAGGAGGGGCGTGTGGGTGCGGTTGAGTGCGGTTGGCAGGGGTTTAGTCAGTGGTTGGACCAAGGGCCGGCAACAAGAGAAACTGGTGGGCGTGGGGCCAGAGCGCCTCCTTGCGCAGGTACTGGTCACGCGGGCCGCAGGGTAGGCGGATGATGTACGCGCCCGCGCTCTCCCCCGCTATCAGCCCGTCCGGATCGTAGCGCAGAGAGCTTAGCATCTCTGAGGGCTCGCCGTACGACCAATCGACCTAAAGCACAGCGAGAATGGGGAAACAGGAGCAGGGAGAAGAGGAGAGGGGCGTGTGTATGCGGTTGAGTGCGGTAGGCAGGGGTTCAGTGAGTGGGCCAAGGGGCGGCCACAGCGCCTCCTTGCGCAGGTGCTGGCCGCGCAGGCCGCACGACAGGCGGATGATGTAGGCGCCCACGCTCTCCCCCGCTATCAGCCCATCCGGATCGTAGCGCAGGGAGCTGATCATCTCGGATGGTTCTTCATACGACCAGTCCACCTGGGAAGTGGTTGGGTGCGGTTGGCAAGGGTTCATATAGTGAGCTAAGGACAGGATGATGTAGCCCACGCTCTCCCCCGCTATCAGCCCGTCCGGATCGTAGCGCAGGGAGCTGATCATCAATGAGGGTTCTCCATACGACCAGTCCACCTGGGAAGCAGGAAGGGAGGGGGAGTGGTTGGGTGCGGTTGGCAAGGGTTCCGTCAGTGGGCCAAGAGCCGGCCACAAAGCATCAAGTGAGGCCCGCGCTCGCAGCCACTATCAGCTCATCCTGGTCGTAGTGCAGCGAGGATTTTGGTGGGTAAGCAGATCGACGCAGTGCACACACACACACCTTTGGCATGTACGCCAGGGTGTTCCCTCTTTCCTAACGAGCAGCTCCAAACCCACCCGCACCACTCTCCACCTCTTTAACACCGCTCAGCACCGCTCACCACCACTCACAACCACTTACCCCAGGAGCAACGATCTGGCGTGTGAGCAGATCCACACGGTACACCTGAGGCATGGACGCCAGGGCTCTCGCGATCTCCACCACGTATTTCACCTGGACAAGGTGGGGAGGGGGTGGTGGTGGTGTGAGAAGGGGAGTGCGAGGAACAGATGAGGTAACTTCCTGAGGCATGGACGCCAGGGCTCGTGCAATCTCCACCACGTATTTCACCTGCAAGCAGTGGGGGAGAAGGAAGAGAGGAGTGGGTCGAGGGGAAGAAGGAAAGAATACCACGTGACGATAAGACGGCAGGGAACAAGGGTGTGATACACAGCAAAAAAAAATCCCACCCGTGCAACAATCTGCCTCTAATCAAAGTAGGGAGGAAGGGCAGAATGCAGGGGCAGGCAGCACACGAGAGGGCAGCACACGAGAGGGCAGCACACGAGAGGGCAGCACACGAGAGGGCAGCACATGAGAGGGCAGCACACGAGAGGGCAGCACATGAGAGGGCAGCACACGAGAGGGCAGCACATGAGAGGGCAGCACACGGGACAGTAGCATACCTGGCCGCCCGTGTCCGAGTCTCGGCCCAGCTCCATGTTCTCTCCACGCACCAACCCGTGGATGCTGCATGGGGCAGCAGGGAAACGAACACAACGCACATGCGCATGCACAATGTGTTGATTGAATGAACACATGCAAGAAAACTTAATTGATTTGCATCCACACCTTCGTTTCGCTGCGACTGCAATGATCCTTCTATGTGGTTGCTGATGAGGTGTGGATGTACCTCGTCTGTTCGTGTGGCGAAGCACTTGTAACATTGGTCATGACAAATTCAAGGCTCACCTGATCGTGACAATCCCAAGGCTCACATGATCATGACAATTCCAAGTCTCATCTGATCATGACAATCCCAAGGCTCACATGATCACGACAATCCCAAGGCTCATCCGATCATGACAATGCCAATACTCACCTGATCATGACAATCCCAAGGCTTATCTGATCACGACAATCCCAAGGATCATTTGATCGCGACAATGCCAAGGCTCACCTGATCATGACAATGCCAAGGCTCACCTGATCATGACAATCCCAAGGCTCACCCAATCACGACAATTCCAAGGCCTGCCAAATCATGCCATTCTCAAGGCTAACCTGATCATGGCAATCCCAAGGTTCACCTAGCCACGGCAATTCCAAGGCTCACCTGATCATGACGATATAGAGCCTCTTCTCCGTGCCATGCTCAAGCGGGTCCCTCCCAGGCGCCTCAGCAGTCAACCCTGCACCAGCAGGCACCTCCCTCTGCCTCTCCCCCTGCTGCTGGTTCTCCCTCCTCCCCCGGGACTCCTTCTCCGCTGCAGCCTTTGCTGCCGCAGCCTGAGCTGCTGCCACGTTGGCACTGGAGTCCAGCAGGTCATCCGCGGCCTTGTCCACGTCAGTAGCCACGTCAGCTGATGATAAGGTGTCCGGGAGGGCGTCATCAGGGCCGTCCTCCTCCTCTATGTCCAGCTCTGCCTCCTCCTTGTCGTGCTGCTGCTGCTCCTTGATCCGCGATGCTTCTTGCTCCAACTGCACGGAAGAAGGGAAAGAGGCGAATCCAGGAGGTGAATCTTGGCGGCACTCTCAGGAGGGAAAATTTGGGGTTGTATTGATCCTCTATGGCCAGCTCAGCCTCCTCCTTGTCATGCTGCTGCTGCTCCTTGATCCGCGATGCTTCTTGCTCCAACTGAAGCACGAAGTGCCGAACGTGAGGATTTTGATAAAAATTGTGATACGTGGGGATACGAGGGGAGGTGCGGAATTGGGAGAAGATTTCAAAGACTGGGAGTGAGTTAAGAAGACTGGGTGGGTGTCAGTTCAGGATATTGACGAAAAGGTAGGATTGGGTAATTGCGAGGCCACGAAGTACCAGCAAGCCAAAGCCTACACAATACAGTTGATACACGCACCATACCTGCTTCTTTTTCCGGGACAGGTGCCAAATTCGCCACGTGAAGTTCTCCATTCGCGACCCTTTCTCGTCGCTCATCGCTGTGGCCTGCACAGATCACGGATCACGGATGAAACCAAAGCACGTATTAAGACATTGTGGCTGCTAACAAAGTACCAATACAATCATGTGCGACGCAATCGTGTGCGACAAGTACGACGCAATCATTCATGTGCGACATTTTCACCGCTCGTGTGCGACACTTCCATCGCTCATGTGCGATACCTTCATCCACGTGCGATGCAGCTCCTCCTCGCTTGAATCCTTGATCTCATTCACAAAGTATCGGACGGCTGTGCCGCTCTGACCCTTGATCTCCGATAGATCCAGCCGTTCCTTCTTGTCAGTGTCCATCGGCGCGCCTCCGCGCTCTAGAATCGCGTCCAAATAACCCGATAGCCACTCATTCTCCGCCATCGCGCCGCCACTGACTTCCGTTCAATGCTAAAAGATTCAACCAGCAGGTACTGGAGAATTTGCGGAACAAGGGACGTCGATTAAAAGCGGCGAAGAAATCGTTCACGATCCAGTAGAACTCGGGGAAAGCGTCAGCCAGAATACGCTGCGTTCGAAGAAACTTCAGGAACCGACAGAAGGTGGAAGCCGGAATTTCACTCAAGAGGATTGAGCGAGCGTCGCTCGGAGTCTAATACGGGCGAACGTTCCGAGGAAGAATCTACGCCGTGTATTCGAACGCACCAGTCGTCAGTGATTTGCTGGAAATCGCAAGCGAGAATCGACGATTATGGGCTGAAGTTCTGGAGGAATGGGAAAGGGCTGAACAGATATTCTACTTACAATTTCAGAGCATGCAGAGCAGAAGGCAATCCCGTGCGACACAAGGCGGGGGAGCCGTGCATTGCGCAATGCGACGGGGGGAAGTGGGTGTCTGTCGGGTTGGGGAGAAAAGGGTGCGGGGAACATGGCAGAACCGTAACAGGGTTGGCGGAACCTTACTGTATACTGATGTCAGCCACAGAAAAGCGAGGAATCGTACTTTACCGCTCTAGTTTCTGTTCTCATTGTGTTGTCGTGACTGAACGAGCCAGTGGTGGTGGATTGTTCTCGTGTCTACTACGGCCTGCGCCGATTGGTTGGGCGGAAGACTGCAGGCAAGCCTTCCGCCCAGCCAATAAAAAGGCTGGTCAAGTCGCAACTCTATTCCGCACGCGTCGCACGAGAGCGGAAAGGCGATGAAAACGACAACCTGCTGCACCTGCTTAGCAGTCGCCCATAATCGAACCGTCTATGGGCTACATGCTTGCCACCTGGCTGAATCTAACTCGTCCGAATATTCTCCACTGCTCTGGGATCTCCACACAGCCCACAGCCAGCACGGCTTCGAATGTGAAAACTCGTAGTCAGCGTAGATGAAGCCTTTTGACAAGTGAAATAACACAAACGTAGAAGCAACGTGCTTCTTGGGGAAAAGGACCTATTCCCTCACATTCTTTACATTGATATACCATTGATATACCGTATCGCCCCGGATATAACCGCAGGCCTATGTTAAGCGCATGCGCCTTTATCTGGAGCAATGCGCTTATGGCCGATCCTCGATTATAAGCGCACCCTCTGAAAAATTGTTACGTATTATAAGCGCACCCCCGTTGTATAACAAGGGTTTCACTGATGATTTTTTTCACTAGTTAACAACCTAGCTAACAATTTCAACTAAAACACCAAGTCCAATACATTAAACTTGATATCTAGCCTACACACTATTTTCAGGGTCAGTCTAGCCTAAGGCCTACTCCTCGTCCGACTCAGGCTCCGTGGAGTTGTTGCCAAAGAACCCGTCTGCTTGGACGTCGTCATCTACCTCTACCTCGTGGGACAGCTGAGCTCTGCGGTGCGCCAGCACCAGTCCGTCTTCGCTTCCGTCAAGGGCATTGCTGATGCCGCAGGTGAGGAACGCCTTCTTAATCAGATCGGCGGGCACGGCTTTCCACGCCCGTGAAATCCACTTGAGCACCACCTCCGGAGGTGGTTTCTTGATGTTCCCTGCACCACAAACATGGGGGTGGGAAACGTGAGTCCACAAGCAGGCAGGCAAGCAGGTGAAACGGTCACGGGAGAACACTTTACTTACCTGCGCGTGTCAGGATGTTCATGCCGTCCTGCTCGAACCAGGTCTGGTACTGCTGCCGAACACTCGCCTTGAAACTCTTGTTGACCGACACATCGAGCGGCTGCAGGTCTGCCGTGCATCCCGCCGGGATGACCGCCGGCACGATGTTGAGTTCCGCAAATTTCGCCTTGACTTCTGGTGTGAGGTGACCACGATAGGAGTCGAGCACCAGCATGGCGCTACGGCTCTGCACTCCGAACTTCGGTTTCAGGAACGGCACCACGCCTTTTGCGAGCCACTCGATGACGCCCGAGGCCTCCATCCACCCGTTAGCTTGGCAGCCGACCACGACATCTGCACACAAGCAAGCGGTGGTTAGTTTTTAATATAGATTCTCGGGAACACGCGCATCGACTTCACCTTCTTACCGTTCGGGAAGTCTCCCTTTGGGAGGGTCTTGCGCTTGAAAAACACCCACGGCTTCAACTTCTCGCCCGTCGCCGTGCACGCCAGCATCACGGTGACTCGCTCTTTCTGGTATCCACCGCTGCGGATGGGCACCGACTTCACGCCCGTCTGCTCCACCGTGGTAGTCGCCGGCATCTCCAGCCACAAAGGCGTCTGGTCGGCGTTGATGATGTAACGGGTGTCGATGTCGTACTCGTGGCGTGTGTCGCGGACGTACTGCCAGAATTCCTTGCACTGCTCCGCTATGTCTGCGTACGGGGAGGGAGGGACGGGTAAAAAGGCGGATGAGCACCGCGGCAGCTAAACATACATGGGCAAGTAAGTCAAGAGATTCATGCATGAAATTCAAGATAAGATGACAGGCTACAGGCAGGCACTTACGCTGCAGTGTCTTTTGCGCCACCTTAGTTTTCATGCGCACGGTGAGATTCCACCGCTTGCGGATCCGCTCCGTCCAGCGCTGACTCGCCTTCCACTTGACGTCCGGGAACAACACCTTCATCACCTCTTTTGACCAGTCTTGCAGCCGGCCGACAGATACTGCCACACCGCGGCGTCGCCAGTCCAGGAGTTGGGCGCACACTTTCATCTCCATGGGTCTGTACCAGGACGACCTTCCGCGCCCATGAAGTCGACACCGAGCGCCGTGTGCAGCCTTGAGCTCCTCCGCTTGGTTTTTCCACTCCGTGAGGCATTTGCGGTGTATGCCGGACTCCCGCGCGACCTCGCTTATCGATGCCGCAAGCTCCAGCCGTACGAGCCACTTCAGTTTCTCCTGGGCGGTGTAGCGCTGCCGTTTGTGTTGAGTCGGCTTGTGCCTGGGGGAGGGGGGGCGGGCATCTCGGTTCTCAGAGGAGGGGTGGGGTCGTTTCTTGTTAATAGGCGGATACGTTGGTATCGGCATCTTCGCGCGTGGTGCGTCGCGCCACCAAGATTCCACGCCGTCATCGTCGGCGGCCTCACGATCGGGAAAGACGTCCTCCTCGGCGCCCTCTTCACCATAGATTCCACCGTCGCCTCCACAGCCGCCTTCCGCGGTGCCGTCGCCGGTGGGTTGTTTATCGGCGGCCACGTCATCGTCGGCGCCCACGGCCGACTCGTCCCACGTGCACTGCTCAGGATTTCCCCACCGCGGTGCAGTCGGCGGAGCAGCGATGACCACATCGGGAGCCTTGGGTGTGTCCGGTTCAGACAGCCACTCGTCGAAAGTGGCTGGCAAATAAAGCTGGAGCACGGGCCGTTGGTGAGAATTCGGGTCAGGAACAGGAGGAGCGGGAGGAGTAGGAGGAGTAGGAGGAGTAGGAGGTACAGGAGGAGCAGGCGGAGCAGGCGGAGCAGGCGGTGCAGGTGGTGTAGGTGGCACAGGAGGCGATGGTGGCTCACGGGTATACCACCCGTCCGCGGTAAGTCGCCATGGGCGTGGTTTCTTCTTGAAAAGAAAGTGCGTCCCACTGAATTCCGCCATGGCTTCGCCAGCCAGGCGGCCTAGACTAGAAATTGAATGAAAAAAAATGAGGAAGAGGGAGCAGAAATGGGCAACGACGGTGACCCCTGCGGGCTAGCGGCTCGGGGTCCTCGTCAATGACAGGCAGGAATCCCCCGCCTTCCCCCGTAGAGGAACCTGCGTGGCAGCATATACGCTGCGCTGGCAGGGAATCTTCCCCACCCTTCGAGAGGGTTCGGAAGAAATGAACATGCGTGGCAGCGCATGCGGCTGTGATTGGGCCGCACCGCAACATCCCCGTCAGTGCTGTCACGTTCGATGGTTCTAGACAGCATTGTGCGGTGGGAAACCGAACCGCGGCTGTTTTTGCCTGAAATCCATGCACGATCCCACTCGTTGCATGGTCCGTTGGATTCGCCTTATTGCGGGCTTCAGTTTAGTATGTTTAAAAGTGAATTTATTTTTTTCCGTATTATAGGCGCATGCGCTTATACAGACACCTCAATTAGAAGCGCACCCCCCCAAAAAACACTGTTTTATTATAAGCGCACCTGCGCTTTTATCCGGGGTAATACGGTACCCAGTTGGGATTATGTTATGATAAACAAAGCTGAAGCTTTGGATTATTACATACAACAAACCCAACTCCTATAAAAGAAACATCTACATTCATAACCATCATTGCTACCGTATGAACAATACAACTAGGATGTCACACCTCTCCATCCTCAAGTTCATCATCATCATCCATGATCGCACGTCTCTTTGCCGGCCGGTGGTGCCATGTTACCACATCCTCCTCACTCTCTTCACTGCTGTCCACCTCCTCCCCCTCCTCCCTCTCTGAAGCAGCAGCAGCAGCAGTGGCAGAAGAAGCAATTCTTCGATCACCAGAAGGACCAGCAGCGGCAGCAGCAGCAGCAATAGCATGCTGCAATGCTGAAGATGACCCTGCTCCACTCCTCTCCACTCCTCCCACTGCCTCTCCTAACTCCCTCCTCTCCACCCTACCCCCTATCCTGCTATCCCTCCTCTCCACTCCTGCGCCAGTTCCTGCATTATCGTGTCTTTCCCCGCCTCTTCTTAGTCCGCTATCTGGCCGCTCTTCTCCCCGATTTGCATGCCCTGCTCCCCGTCGCTCCACTCCTAGCCCTGATCGCTCACGCTCCAGTCCCTCGTGTCTCCTCTCGCCATGCTCCCTGCCTGTCCTATCATGTCTCTCTACCCCCACTGCTGCTCCCACATGCTCCCCAGGTTCTTCCTTCACTCTCACATGTGTGCCACTGCCACCCGCACCATTCCTGTCAGGCACACCACTGCCACCTGCCATCCCACCCCCCCCTCCCACCTTCCTCTTCTTGCTCTCATCCAAGCCTGCTGCCCCGGCTCCTCCCAGCCCACCTCCTCTCCCCAATCTTGCTCCCCCTTGCTCCCCGACCCCTCCCCCTCGTCCCTCCCCTGCCCGCCCTGCCCCCACTCCCCCACTCGCCTCTCTAGCTCCAACCCTGCTTGGCCCAGCAGCGGGGCCATATGCACCTTCACCCACTCTTCGACTCATGGCAGCACCCGCCCCCTCACCCTCTCTCCTCCCTTCGTTCACCCTCTGCTCACTCGCTCTCCCTCTCTCCCTCTCACTCACTCGTTTACCCTCGCTCGTCGTCCCTTTGCCCCTGGCTGGAGCGGCAGGGGAAGACTTGACAGCAAATGCTTTTTGAGGCGCCTCAGAGCCCGTCCCTTTGCCCTTCGCTTCAGCAGCAGGTGAGGACTTTCGAGCGAAAGCTTTCTGCTTTCCCATCGTTGGTGTGATTCTGGGCACACCTCTTGCTCCTCCTGCTTCACCTCCTCCTCTTCCTGCCGCCGCTGCAGCAGCTCCTGCTCTGCCTGCTCCTGCTCCTCCTCCTGCTCCCACTGCTGCTGTTTCTCCCGTTCCCCCACCTGCAGCAGCTCCTGCTGTGGCCCTTGCTGCAGCACTGCTTCTAGGCATAACAGGGACGCAATTGCTATCAGCATCTGAAGCAGCACCAGTCACAGTGCGCCCACCAGCATTCAGCGTAGCAGCAGTGCCAGCAGCAGCACCAGCAGCGGCACCAGCAGCAGAAGCAGCAGCAGAAGCAGCGGCAGTAGCAGCAGACGCAGGAGAAGCAGCACCGCCAGCAGCAGCACCAGGGAAGCTACTGTAGTGTCTGGAGATCCCAAGGGTAACCTCGTTAGGAGCTGGTTCAACATAATTGGGGTCGTTGCACTTGCCTCGAATGGGATCCATGTAGCAGAACCTGGGAGGAAAGTCAACAGGAGTCAACACGAGTAAAAAAAAGTCATTATGAGTCAATGAGTGGACGTATAGGGGTCAACGACCGTCAGCACGTGCCCCTTGTGGGGTCCGTGTAGCGAAAATTGGGGGCAAATTCAACAGGAGTCAACATGAGTCAATGAGTGGATTTTTGAGGCGCCTAAAAAATGGTCCATGTAGCAAAACGTGGGGCAAAATTCAACAAGAGCCAACATGAGTCAATGAGTGGATAAATAGGCGCCAACAGCTGTCAGCACATGCCCCGTAAGGGGTCCATGTAGCAGAACATGGGGCAAAGGAGGGCCAGAGTCAACAAAGTTTTACAAAAGTCAACAGGAGTCAACACGAAGCATGCATTGGACTCTTCCTCCTACCATCACCCGCCATACCAGTTCTCTGGCAGCATCTCAAATGTCACATCCATCACCACCCCTGAGAACCCCTCAGCACCTCACATCCGCCATCACCACCGCTTAGCACCCCTCGGCATCCCTCATACCAGTTCTCTGGCAGCATTTCAGAGGTGACATTGGGTGGCAGGATATGCCACTGCTGGCACTTGTCGCACTGCACCCATTGCATCCCACTACAAACCCATCTGCCCATCCCTTCCAAAATCTCATCCCCTCATCAACCCTCCTCACCACTGTTCACCCCTCAGCATCCCTCAGTAGCTTTCAGCACCTGTCAGCACCCCTCACCACCACTCGTACCAGTTCTCTGGCAGCATTTCAGAGGTGACATTGGGGGGCAGGATATGCCACTGCTGGCACTTGTCGCACTGAACCCAGTCCCTGTGGTCCTGCAGCACTGCCCCCTCTGGTATGTTCGTCTGAACACAACCAAGGGAGAGGAAGAGGGACAAGAGAGAGGAGACAAGTCTCACTGCCACTGCTGGCACTTGTCGCACTGCACCCAGTCCCTGTGGTCCTGTAGCACTGCGCCCTCTGGTATGTTCGACTGAACACGGGGGAGCGGGGGAGGAGAACAGGAGGGAGGGGAGACAAGGGAAATGTGAAAGGGGAAGGGTGGGCAAGAAATCAAACTCCAGCTGCACCCAACCTGTTTTTGAGACGATCGCCTAAAAAATTCGAGGCGCATAAAAAATCGTTTTGAGGCGCCTCAAAAATCGCTCTGAGGCGCCTCAAAGATGTGAAAGGAAAAGGGTGGGCAAGAAATCGAACTCTAGCTGCAGCCAACCTGTTTTTGAGACGCCTTAAGAAGAACAGCCCTCAAAGAGGAATGAAACCAAAGAATCGACTGAAAAGCATCTCACAGTGGGGCGGTCCTTGTCGAAATTGTCCTCCCAGCTTTCACCACTTCACTCTCACACCCACCACTGCTTGCCTTTCGAATCCGCCAAGAAAAGCATCTCACAGTGGGGCGGTCCTTGTCGAAATTGTCTTCCCAGTACTGGTTGAAGGTGGAGGAGAGAAAGTCCTTGAGCCGCTGATACTCCTCCCAGTTCACTCCAACGCTCACCACTGGGTAAACTCTCTTTCTAAACACAGACAAATAAAAACTTAAAACAACTATCCATCTCACAGTGGGGCAGTCCTTGTCGAAATTGTCCTCCCAGTACTGGTTGAAGGTGGAGGAGAGAAAGTCCTTGAGCCGCTGATACTCCTCGCCCTCTGCAAACCGCTGCTTGCAGTTCAGCACTCCCAGCTCCCCTGCTGCATCCTGCAGGGCAGAAGAGGTGAAAAGGAGTGTGAAGTGGTTGAAGAGGGCGGACAGGTAGTCCTTGAGCCGCTGATACCCCTCGCCCTCCGCAAACCGCTGCTTGCAGTTCAGCACTCCCAGCTCTCCTGCCGCATCCTGCAGGGACGGAGGTGAAGAGGGGTGTGAGGTGGTTGAAGGTGGAGGAGAGGAAGTCTTTGAGCCGTGATACTCCTCTCCCTCTGCGAATCTCTGCTTGCAGTTCAGCACCCCCAGCTCCCCTGCTGCATCCTGCGAAGCAGAAGATGAAGAGGTTTGTACAGCGATTGAAGGGGGTGGAAAGGGAGCTCTTGGCAGGGAGAGCAGTCTCTGCTTGCAGTTGAGCATGCCCGTGAAGGGGAGTGCTGCCAAGGGACAGTAAGGGAGCCTGATACACATGCACAGTACTCACAAAGAGAGCAGTAGTGTCCACCACGCCTACCACCCCCAGCCCAGCATCCCCCGAATACTCCATGCGCCCCACGCGCTTATACGCCTCCATCAGCCGTCCGTGCCAGTACAGGAAGAACCCACACCGCCCACACGCCCTCTCGCCTTCGTTCATGCCCATGCGTTCAGCCCTCTGTTACACCCCTCAAGCTTTAGCTATGCTTCACGCAACCTCAGACCCAGAAACCGAGCACACCAAGCCCAGTGTAGAGAGGGTATTTTTGAGACGTCTCAGAAACCCTCTCTACATGTGACAGACCCAGAAGCCGCGCACACCAAGCACAGCAGCGGACGCGTGGAGTGTGGAGAACTCACAAAGAGAGCAGTGGTATCAACCACGCCGACCACCCCCAGCCCGGCATCTCCCGAGTATTCCATCCTTCCGACGCGCTTATACGCCTCTATCAGCCGCCCGTGCCAGTACAGGAAGAACCCGCACCGCCCACACGCCCTCTCGCCCTCGTCCATGCCCATGCGCACTTGCACCGGCTGCCCCATGACGGTCCCAGTGGTGGAGAACGGTTGGGAGAGGTTCTCCGCGATGTCGACGCTGCCTTGCACGGCGCGGCCTTGCACTGTGATGGTGGCGGGGTTGTGCAGAAACATGACTCGCAGGTAGGCTCGTAGGGAGTAGTCTATGGGTACCTGGTGGTGGGAAGCGTGGCAAGGGGAGGCACCAGGGAAGCGGAAAGGGAAGAGGGCAGGGGAGAGGGAGGGGAGGAGGGAGGGGAAGAGGAGAACGCAAGGGGGAAGCGGGTGAGTGGGTGAGACAGGCACTGGAGACGTGTCCACTCCACACAGCCTTGCACTGTGATGGTGGCGGGGTTGTGGAGAAACATGACTCACAGGTAGGCCGTAGGGAGTAGTCTATGGGTGCCTGCAGAGGGGAGGGGAGGGGGGCCGAGGGATAGATTAGGCTGGGAGAACTGAGAGCGGGCAATGGCGGGCAATGGCAATGTTGTGGAGAAACGTAAGGAAGAAAGAAAGAGCTGACATGGACGGCTCGTTGCAGCAGGAGCTTACGTCTTGGCAGAGCTGGTTGGGGCGGGAGCGGGGTCGTCTGGTGCGGATGAGGATGTCGTGGGCGTCGTCGTCCCACTCGAGCTCGTACGCTGCATCTGGACGCGACAGGCGCTTGAGGTTGAACAAGTAGATGCGCGTGCCCGTGGGGGGGGAGTCAATGCTTCCACTTGCCTGCTCCAACCTGTGGGGCGGTAGGAGCCGTGAGTGATATGACGCGACAGGCGCTTGAGGTTGAACACATAGATGCGCGTGCCCGTGGGGGAGGAGTCACTGGAACCATTTGCCTGCTCCAACCTGCGGGGGGGATTGCGGGAAGCGGTAGCAAGACTGGGTCGCTGTGAGCATATGGGGCGGGATAGGCGCTTGAGGTTGAACACGTAGATGCGCGTGCCCGCGGGGAGGGAGTCAGTCACTGGAACCGTTAGCCTGCTCCAGCCTGAAAAGGGGGAGCGCGGGCGGTGTAAAGCGGTGGAACGTGAGTGAGAAGCTGGGCAAGACAGGCGCTTGAGGTTGAACACGTAGATGCGTGTGCCCGTGGGGGGGCTGTCACTGGAAGCACCTGCCTGCTCCAACCTGCGGGGGGAAGGGAACGGTGGGAAGAGGTAGCGGTAGAAGCTGCAACTGAGTTGCTGTGACTGAGATGCGCAGGAGAGGCGCTTCAAGTTGAACAAGTAGATGCGCGTGCCCGTGGGAGGGGAGTCACTGCTGCTGCTTGCCTGCTCCAACCTGTGGGGGAAGTGAGGGGGAAGAAGCACGGGCGTAGAGCAGAGTGAGGAGAGAGAAGAACGGGGTCACAGCAGAGAGAGAGCTGAACACGCAAAAACGTGTGCCGGAGGGCGAAGCGAAGCGCAACACCTGCCAGGTGGGCACGGAGTTAAAGATCGAACTCCCTTGCACATAGGGCTCCTATGATGAGAGGGGCCACGTCCACTTACTTGCAAAATCGCAAAAGTCACTTGCTTGCAAAATCTCAAAAGTCACTTACTTGCAAAATCTCAAAAGTCACTCACTTGCGGAACTCCTGGTTTATCCTTCGCTCGTCCAGAGGCGAGAAGTCAAAGATTGCTCGCTTCCGCCTCTCCGCCTCCTCCTCTGAATGCACCCCCAGGTCCAGCTGCCACTCAGCAGTCCCACCTCCCCCTACAGATCCACCTCCTCCTGCTGCAGATCCACCTCCCCCTGCTGCAGATGCACCTCCCCCATATACCACCCGCTTGTACGTCACGATGGGGATCTCCAGCTCCTGCCGGCCCTGGTTGAGCGAGCGGGAGAGCAGCGCAATGCTGCGGCTGTCCGTTGACTGGGTTAGAACCAATGCATCGTTGCCTATGCGCATGGTGCCCGTCTGGTGGTGAGGGCGGGAGGAAAGAAGGGAACAGAGAGGGAAATAGAGAGGGAAAGAGAGAAGGGAGAGAGGAAAGAGAGTGCATTTCGGGTTTTGAACAGGGGTTGTGAGAGTCACAATGGGGATCTTCAGCTCCTGCCGGCCCTGGTTGAGCGAGCGGGAGAGCAGAGCGATGCTGCAGCTGTCCCTTGACAGGGCCAGCACCAAGGCGTCGTTGCCTATGCGCATCGTGCCCGTCTGGTGGTGGTGAGGACGGGAGGTGGACGGAAGGAATGAGGGAACGAGAGTCACGAGAAGGGTCTGCAGCTCCTGTCGGCCCTGGTTGAGCAGGGATGGAGCGCGATGCTCCAGCTGTCGCTCGACTGGGTCAGCACCAGTGCATCGTTTCCTATGCGCATCGTGCCCGTCTGGTGTTTCTTGTTGGAAAAAAGGGGTTGAGCGGAGAAAAGAACGACAGAGAAAGACAGTATTAGGTGAAGTGAGGATGGGGCTTGTTGTAAGAATCAATCAATAAGATAAGAGAGTGTCGAGCTGCTGCCTGTCCTTTGATGGAACGAGTGTGGAAGAAGCGCAGCGGGGTGCAGCCCACCTTGAAACCGACACTGAATCCGCTGATGTGGTGAGGGTCCTCCTCTGCGGGGAGCTCATGGCCCAGCGACAGCAAGGTGACTGAGGGGAGGAAGGGGGGGAGAGGGAGGGGAGGAGGGACTGCAGCAGCCCACCTTGAAGCCAACCCCGAATCGGCCGATGTGGTGGGGGTCCTCCCCTGCGGGGAGCTCATGGCCCAGCGACAGCATCTGCACCAACTCGCCGTGGTCCATGCCCTTGCCATCGTCACACACGTGCAGCACCGGCACCGGCACACCCGATGCAGCGGAGGAGGAGGGGCGAGTGAAGGAGGAGGAGGAGGGTAACGGTGCTGCGGCTGAGGGTGATGCTGCGGGGACTGCTGTTGCTGCTGCGGCTGCCGCGGCTGCTCTTGGAGGGAGCTTGGCCATGCTGATGAAAATGTCCAGCCTGCGTGGAGGGAGGGACATGTACGAACGAAGTACAATGGCATGCAACACACCACTCAGGCCCGCCAACTACTGCCGTTGCTGCTAGTTGCCGGTGTGGCTGCTCTTGGAGGGAGCTTGGCCGTGCTGATGAAAATGTCCAGCCTGCATGGAGGGAGGGGCGTGTACGAACGAAGTACAATGGCAAGTTTTGAGGTGCCTCAAAAGCCGCGGCTGCTCTTGGAGGGAGCTTGGCCATGCTGATGAAAATGTCCAGCCTGCGTTGAAAGAGACGTGGGGGATTCCCAAGGGCAGGGCACATACACACACAACACAACACAGAACTTGGGGCTACACGAAAACCAAGGTCCAACTACTGCTGCTGCTGCCACTACCGAAGTTTGGCCATGGTGATGAAAATCCCCATAAACTCTGCCAGGCCCCCGAACACCCACTGCGTGTGCACCAGTGCCATGACATGATGGGAGTGGATGCACGGGTGTGTGTGTGTGGGTGGGTGCATCACCCCAGCCCAGCCTCACCCATGCCAGGGAGAAAGTGCTGCGTTGCTTCGTACCTGCGTGCCTTGGCGTCCATGGAGTTGTCTATCAGCTCCGCCAGGCCCTGGAACAACCACAGCTGGTGCGAGTGCGTCTGTGCCATGATGGGAGTGCGTGTGCGTTGCGTGTGTCGTGCGTACGTGCATGCGTGTGTGAGTGTGAAAGTGCTGCCCCTACCTGCGTGCTTTGGCGTCCATGGAGTTATCAATAAGCTCCGCCACGCCCCCAAACACCCACTGCTGGTGCGTGTGCGCCAGGGACGCCAGGTACTGCGGATGCATGCCCGGCCCCGGCGAACGCGCAGGGGGAAGGGAAGGGGGAGGCGGAGGGGGAGAGGGGCGCGCAGGTGGAGGGGGCATTGGGGAAGCAGATGGAAGAGGAGGAGGAGGAGCGGGAGCAGGAGCTGAGGGGGAATGGGGAGGAGGAGGTGGAAGCGTGGGAGGAGGAGGAAGTGCACCCTTGAAAGAGAATGCTGATGTGGGGGTTGCAGATGCTGACGTGGACAATGGAGGTGCTGACGTGGATACTGGAGATGCTGACGTGGACAATTGAGGTGCTGACGTGGATACTGGAGCGGCAGGGGCGGAGGCAGCAGCGCGAGAGGAGAAAGATCCTGCAGCAGTGAGGCCCGGAAGGCTCTGCGCTCGGGGGGAAGCACCACGGGCATGTGGGGGAGGAGGGTGGTGGGAGGACCAGCCGCCTGGTGAACCAGGAGCACGAGGCGAGCCATGCCCTGCTGGAGTGTGACCGTGCTGCTGCCGCCGCTGTTGCTGGAGTTGTTGCTGCTGCTGCTGCTGCTGGTGTGGTGGCAGCAGTGGCGGTGGCGGTAGTGCTTCCTGTTGCTGGGGTTGCTGCACAGACGCAGAAGACACCTGCGGTTCGGGCTCAAATCCAGGTGGAACCCGCCCTAGTTGTACCTGCGACCCTGCCCACACCTGCCCTAGTTGCATCTGCTGCCCCTGCCCCTGCCCTTGCCCCTGGCCCTGTGCAACTGAGTGTGGTGAGGCTGCTCGAGTAGGGGGCGGAGCTGATGCCACGTGCGAGTGTGCCTGCCCAGGTGGCACCTGCCCCAGATGCACCTGACCGTTTGCCACCTGGGCACGTGCCTGTCCAGGTGCCACATGAGAATGCGCCACCACCACCTGACCAGGCGCCACCTGTCCAGGCGCCATCTGACCAGGCGCCACCTGTCCAGGCGCCATCTGACCAGGTGCCACCTGTCCGGGCGCCACCTGACCAGGCGCCATCTGACCAGGTGCGACCTGTCCGGGCGCCATCTGTCCAGGTGCCACCTGTCCGGGCGCCATCTGTCCAGGTGCCACCTGTCCGGGCGCCATCTGTCCAGGCGCCGTGTGAGAAGCAGGTCTTGACTGCTGCTGCGCCAGCAGTCCCGGGAGCACTGCAGGGAAGCGCGGGGCGCGGCGGGGAATGCCAGCTGGCAGCGGCGCGTAGTACGCCCGGGCAGAGGAGAAACCGGTGGGGAGCGGTGCAGAGGGGTGGGCGAAGGCGGGAGGGGGTGGGGGAGGGGAGGTGGAGGTGGTGGTGGAAGGGGTGGCGATGGGGAGAAGGCCGAACTGGTACTGGCCTCTCGCTGATGTGATGAGCCCCACCTGATGGGATGGGAATGGGGGGAGAGGGAAAAACGACAAGGAAAAAAGGGGGTTGGAACTTGGAGGGGTATGAAGGCAGCGGAAGTAGTGGTGCATGGGGTGGTGTGGCAATGAAGAGACGGCCGAACTGGTACTGGCCTCGCGCTGATGTGAGAGCCCCACCTGATGGACGAGGAACGGGGCCAGGAGGAGCAGGGGGGAGGAGGAAAAAAGGGAGGGAAAACAGAAAAAGAGGGGGCTTGAGGGACAGTCGAAGTGGAGAAGGGTGGGTAGAGGTGGTGGTGGATGGGGTGGCGATGGGGAGAAGGCCGAACTGATACTGGCCTCTCGCTGATGTGATGAGCCCCACCTGATGGGATGGAGTTTGGACGAGGAAAAAACGGCAGAGAGGGGAAGGAGAAGTTGAGGGGAAGAGGATTGGAGTTTGAAGGATGAGAAGGGAAGACCGAAGGTCGAGGGAATGGGGGAGAGGCCTGGAAAGAACGGTATATGCAACGAAGACGTATTGGTTTGGCCTTCTCACACCCCTCTCCCACGCATCTCAATAACACCTACCCTTCCATGCGACCTCAGCACATGAACGAGCTGCTCCCAGTTGTTGACGTCCACAGACGAGGGGATGTGCTCGGGGTACACTCGGAAGTGATTCAACCCCTCTCTTACCTATCCCCTGAACCACAGACACACGTGTGCGCGTGCACACACACACCCACCCACCCACCTACCCTTCCATGCGACCTCGGCACATGAACGAGCTGCTCCCAGTTGTTGACGTCCACGGACGAGGAGCTTCTCTCGGGGTACACTCGGAAGTGACTCAAAACCCTCCTCCCTCAACCCCCGCCCCCCTTGACCACACACACACACACACACCCACCCACCCTGCCATGCGTCCTGAGCACATGAACGAGCTGCTCCCAGTTGTTGACGTCCACGGAGGAGGAGCTGCGCTCGGGGTACACTCGGAAGTGCGGCAGGGAGGGGAGGGATGGTAGCTCCACTCGCGGGGTGAGCTTCGGCAGCAGCACCCACGTCTCGTCGCTGCAAGGAGAAGGGATACACGCACATGACAGCACCGTGTGAGGAGGGGGAGATGGCAGGGAGGGCAGCGAAGGCAGCGACGGCAGCTCCACTCGCTGGGTCAACTCCCACAGAAGCACCCACGTCTCGTCACTGTGAGGCGGGAATACAGGCATATGACACACACACAAGCACGTCTAGTTACACGGTCAGGATTGGGCTAGGCATGGCAAGGCAAGGTGAGAGCAACTGAAGAGAGGCCACGTGTCAGCCAGGCACTGACCTGATGTCAAGAGGCCACGTGTCAGCCGCCAGGTTGCAGATGATCTTGCCGTCAAAGTTGTACAGAGGCACTGTGCTCACCACCTCGGGCTCTCCGGGGTCCATGTCTGCTCGTGTGTGATTGGGAGTGTGAGGAAGGAGGGTTAAGATCAACGGTCACGAGTTGTCGAGGGTCCACACACACGCAACAATCTCCCTGACGGAGTTGTAGCGAGGCACTGTGCTCACCACCTCGGGCTTTCCAGAGTCCATGCTACAATCAACGGTCAGGAGTTGTCGATAGTCCACAGACCTCGGGCTTTCCAGAGTCCATGGCTGCTCACAGTAGTCCGCTCTCCAATCCCCTCACTGGAGCAAGCAGACGGAGGCACTTCTGCACTGCTTGCTCCATTCTCAAGCCTCTGAAACACTGCGGTCCAAATGCGATCTCCTCTCCGCCTTCAACAGGTCGCGACGCGAGCCCTCTGCTTCGCAAGTCCTCTGCTTCAGGCGAATGGGCTTGCGTGCACGCAGAGCCCTTTTTTTAGCGGCAAAAAGGCGCGCGAAATGATGACGGTGCGCCCGAGGTTGCGCCGTCACCGGTTGGCGGTCGACAGCAGGCAGCTGACCGTGCGTCTGAACTGGCTGGTCGACCAGCTGTCAGCCGCGCCGCTGATTTAGCGCAAGCTGGCCCGCGAGGTGCGGAGGCGAGGCGAACAGAAAAAAGACGCTTTTAATTGGAAAAGAGACGAGGCTAGAACGCGCTGGCTCGGGTGGGTCGCACGGGTGAGTGGCAAAATGGGTGGGTCGAACGGGTGGGTCGCACGGTTGCGTCGCACGGTTGGGTCGCACGGGTGGGTCGCACGGGTGGGTCGTATGGGTGGGCCAAACGGGTGGATCTGTAACGATGCGTCTAGGCCTCATCTACCGGAAATGCGTCGGTCAGTGAAGGCCGAAAGAAGAGGAGACCAGAGGATTCTGCCAGATGAGCGTGCGACAAGGAGATTTTGTAGCATGAAAGCGCGACGAGAGGATTCTGTCGCGTAAGAGTGCGACGAGAGGATTCTGTCGCATAAGAGTACGACGAGAGGATTCTGTCGCATAAGAGTACGACGAGAGGATTCTGTCGCACGACACGAGACGAGAGGATTCTGTCGCATGAGCGTGCGACGAAGACAGGCGGCTCGTTCAAAGAACTCAGGGGGATTCTAACGACGACTCGTTCACTGAATGCTGCGCTTCTCGTCCCGTTCATCATGCACATCAGCAGCGTGCGACTAACGTTCCGCCAGACGGCAGGAACACCGTGTAGTGTGAGCTTGGTCAGTACACCGTAATCCCAAACCTCGCGCATCTCTAAGGCCTGGAAATGAAATCCCTGGCGATCCGGGAAACCAGGTCGGGTCGGCCAGCCTACGGAGAGCAACGCGGCCTGAGCGACGGAGGGGAAGTATGCGACGGACGGCGGAGAGGACGTGTGCGACGCACCGTAGATGTCGCCTGCAACGTTGGTAGGATCCATGCAGGCGCAGCGACCTCCTCGAGCGACCCGCGTCGCGCAAGCTGATCTGTCGAAATGCTGCTGCTGCTGGCAGAATGCTTCGACTTATACGATGCCGTAAATACTTGACGGGAAACGGGAACGGAGCCGCGGCACGCAGCCCTGCAAGGTAGACGGAAACACGCAGAGGCATGACTAGCCGTTAGTCTGCTATGCTAATTACGGGCTCACACTACCAGGGTCCGCTGTTGGAAAATCAAGTTTCCTCCTCAGTGGTAGAAAGACAACCCCACCCAGCCCTTGGATTTGGTCACCCAGCAGCACCAGGGGTGCTTGAACCATCACACCCCCACCATGAGTTGGGGGTGGGACATACCCAACTTGTCTTGGACTTTCCCTTCCAGTTGTCAATACCCTTAGACATGTTGGGTGTTTGATGTTCATAACCATCTCTCTTCCTCCATTAGCAGACAGCACGTTAGCAGACATATCGCTCCATCTCCTCGATCAGACCCTTTTGTCGACAAGAGCACCTTCCTGCATGGTCCTGCTCTAACCGAGACCTTCAAACATATAACACGCAGATCAACGCATCTCAGCCAGGGTGCGCTCCGTGGATGAACTAGTATCTCTATGCTCAACGCCTAGATCTCGTTGCTTATATTGTCACTAACTTCCTAGTCTAGTGCTGATAACGCTATAGCTTAATGAATGTAGTTAGGAATGCTAGAAGAGGTAAAAAGGCGGAGTAACTACAATGTATAAGTCCTAAAGTGCTGCGGATGCTTGGGGGAAGGAAGTTGTGGTTTATATATGAGAAAGACATGAGTGTTGGAGAGTGCTTTGTGGGTCACCAATGCTATGTTACAATTTGTGAGATGCCATGTGGCGCAAGTTGTGTGGCCAATCTCCAACCCCTTTTCAAACATCCAACTTGGTTGCAAACTGTACACCCCAAATGGAACATAACAAATCAACTTTCAACTATATATTGAAAAAACATGCTAATAATAACACACCTCTTCAAGTGGATGTTTAAAACAATCAGGCGGGTTCTCATAACAAAACGTGTGCTTTTGTTGAGAGCAATATATGTCAAACTCATATGCTATAGTCTGTGTAGGCTGTAGTGGGGTAGACAATCATGGGGTACAACACTTTTAGGTTTTCCTACTTGTACCCACCTGCTTGCTAGTTCATTCATTCCTCATTTCTTCACATGGTATAGAGCAGGTTCCCTAGTGGGAACTTTTCCTAGGGCCCACCACTGAAAATCGAGTTTTCTTTTTTTTTTCCTGCCCTGAGATCGAGTCGCCCCTGACCGAGGCGCGCCCTGTGTGCCGCCCTCCCCTTAGCGACCCGTCGCGCCGCCCTTAGCGGCCCCCCCTCTCACGGCCCCTCGCGACCCCGTCGCCGCCCCCTAGCGGCCCGTCGCGCCGCCCTGAGCGGCCCGTCGCGCCGCCCTCAGCGGCCCCTTGCGGCCCCACCTCCACGGCCCCGTCGCCGCCCTCTCGCGGCCCCGTCGACGCCGTTCGCGGCCCCGCCGCCGCCCTTAGCGGCCGCGTCGCCGCCCGTCGCGGCCCTGCAGCCGCTCCTCGCGGCCTCGTCGCCGCCCTCTCGCGGCCCCAGTGCCGCCCTCTCGCGGCCGCGTCGCCGCCCTCTCGCGGCCCCAGTGACGCCCTCTTGCGGCCTCGTCGCCGTCCTTAGCGGCCCCGTCGCCGCCCCTTGCGGCCCCGTCGCCGCCCCTTTCGGCCCCTCCCCGGCCCCTTCACCGCCGAGCCGCCGAGCCGCCAAGCAGCCGAACCGCCGAGCCGCCGAGCCGCCGAACCGCCGAGCCGCCGAGCCGCCGAGCCGCCGAGCCGCCGAACCGCCGAGCCGCCGAGCCGCCAAGCAGCCGAGCCACCGAGCCGCCGAGCCGCCGAGCCGCCGAGGCCGCCGTCGAGCCGCCACTACCGAGCCGCTGCCGCTGAGCCGCCGTCGAGCCGCTACTGCCACTGCCGAGCCGCTGCCACCGCGGTTGCAGCCCTGTTCCTACCGGCGCGCCCCGGCCCTACCCACCCGGACTGGTGAGAGCACTCCCTGCTAGACCACTGCTGTCATGGCTACCCCCAGTGTCCTTACCTTTGATGCTGAGGGTCGTGCTGTTGACTTCGAGGTCTGGGTCGATGACCTACAGCTCTTCCTACAGTGCGATAGGGAAGACGGACTCTCCCTGTTCGATCTCACCTCTGGTGCCTCTCCTGCCCCGCCTGCTGATGCTGACAGCACTGTTCGCTCACAGTGGGCCACACGCGATGCTGCTGCCCGTCTTGCTGTGCGTCGCCACTTACCGACCGCTGAGCGTGCGCACTTTAGTCAGTACAAGAGTGCTAAGACCTTGTACGACGCTGTAGTTGCACGCTACTCTTCCCCTGCCACTGCTGCTCTTAGCCGCCTCATACTGCCGTACCTGTTCCCTGACCTTGCTGCCTTTCCCACAGTCGCTGACCTCATTACGCACCTTCGCACTAGTGACACTCGCTACCGCGCTGCGCTTCCTGCTGAGTTCTGTGCCAAGAACCCTCCTCCCATGTACATCACCCTCTACTACATAGTCACCCGGCTCCCTGACTCCCTTTGTTTAGTCAGAGACCACTTCCTCTCAGTTTGCCCCACCACACTCACCGTTGACCTCCTCGAGGAGCGCCTCCTGGCAGCAGAGAAGAGCATAGTCGCTGTAGGAGCCTCTCGTGGTGACCCTCGTACCCCCGTCTTTGAGGGGTGTTCCCCCTCCCCCCTCTTGCCCTATGTTGCTTCTGCTGCTGCGGCCGACCTCGTTGGCTTCGAGTCGGTCGGAGCTGCGTCTGCCCCTAGCGGGAGACGCCGCACCGGCAAGGGCAAGGGGGGCAAGGGCGCTGGAGGGGCTGGCGGGGGCGGTGGAGGTGGCGGTGGAGGCAGTGGAGGGGGTGGGGGTGGTGGTGGGAGTGGTGGCGGGGGTGGAGGTGTCGGTGGCAGCAGTGGAGGTGGAGGAGGCGGCGGCGGTGGCGGTGGGAGCGGAGGCGGCGGAGGTGGCGGAGGCGGCGGCGGCAGCGGTGGAGCTGGTCGCGGCTCTGCGCAGAGGAGTGGCTCCGGTGGTGGTCCGCGCCAGCTGCAGCAGCGCACTCGTGAGACCCCGTCCCCCCAGCAGCTTCGTGAGTGGTACGCTGGGCGTCAGCGAGGTGGGGGTACTGGTCCCTGTACCTACGTCCTCCGTATCGGCGACCGCGCTGGTGAGCAGTGCGGGGGCTCGCACTCCACCCAGCGCTGCTTCGGCCGCCTGACGGACGCTTGGCGTCACCAGTTCCCTGACGCCACTGAGATCCCTCGCTGGGGAGAGCTGTCTAGGGCGGGGGTTGCTATCTTTGATCTTGACTATGATGCTATACTTGCTGCCATGTATGCTGTGTCTACTAGTGATGAGGGCGACTGTTACTTGTGTGTTCCGCCTGACCCGAGCATTGAGACTGCTGCTCTAGGTGCTGGTGAGGCTGCTGCTCTAGGTGCTGGTGAGGCTACTGCTCTCGGTGCTAGTGAGTCTGCTGCCCCAGGTGCTGGTGAGTCTGCTCTCTCAGGTACCACGTCGGCTCAGGCCTCCCACACCTTCACC